ACACCAAGACTCCGAAGTAGCTGAAATGCATATTGAAAATATTTTGAAGCTACAAGCCGATTGAAGGAAGATCTTCATAGACCGAAGATTGAAAATCTTCATGGACTCAAGATTGAAGATCATGGACCKAAGATTGAAAATCTTCATGGACTCAAGATTGAAGATCATGGACCGAATATTGAAAATCTCCATGGACCGAAGATTTGTGTGTAGCTGCTTGAAGCTACATATCCATCCAAAGGAGATCTTCCTACAAACTGATCATATCTCTGCAAAGTTTGTCTCTGCATGAACTGTGTAAGTTTGTCTCTGCATAAATTGTGTTGTATGCATATTGTGTATGATGAAAATGAGATATCAACATTGGTCAAGTCAACCACTGTCTTTTTATTCTCAAGTGACAAGTGTCACCATGCATTAAATGCTGAAGGTAGTATAAAAAGGTAGTGTGCATCTCCCATGCATACAACTGGCTTTTTGTAAGATTACTTAGTGCACTCTCAAAGCAATCGGCTATTCTCTTCTACTCCCTTGCTCTCTTGTGTGCGAAGAAATTCTTAGTGTTCTTCATTTCCTTTCAAGAACTCTTTGTRTTRTTCTTGAAAGTTCTTCTCCTTGTAAGATTGTTTAGGTTAGGTTTTCCTTTCCTATCTTGCGCAACAATCTTTTGTATTTATGTGTGTATTAATTCTTGATATAAATCAATAAGAATTAAAAAGTTGAAAAAAGTMTGTGTAATTGTATTCAACCCCCCTTCTACAATTACTTTCTGTTTATTGCCTTTCCCTTCGGGACTAACAGATACGAATATCGATATATTTTTGTTATGCATAAAGTACTGTATATTGATGCATATTACTTAAAATTCAAGATTATAAGTAATTATGCATAAGTACAACTTATTAAAGCTCGATATTTGAATTCGTATAAATAACTACGGATAAACATAATCAAATAGAGGATGAACATCTCATTTTAAAATATAAAAAATCGAAAGTATAATTAGAATAATTATCGAGTTCCAACAAAATAAATAATTATTATCTTTATAAAAAAATTATATTATTAAACCACATATAAATTACTTCGTTATTGTACATAAATTAAATTATAAAAAAAATTAAAATAAATTACACAAAAAATGAGGAATTTCAAATAGTTAATTTGATACTAATATTGATATATTTTTGTCAAATTTTTATGATATTTTCAAACATATATTTTATTCAAAAATAAAAACATCATCGCTTTCTCAAAATCACATAAAGTCATATTATAACATCGACTGAGATAAAAAATAAAATAAAATATTAAAATCACGATGTATCTCGCTGTATTACGCGAGTACGCTTCTAATTTCTCAAAATATGTAATTATGTAAAAAAAACGTGGCTTTAATCAAACGGGTTCTTTTAAATATAACATGTAATGTGCTTAACGGCTTAATCAAACGATATCTTATATTTTTTTTTGGATGTTATTCTTACACAATTACACACCCATTAAGCACGTTAAGCCAAAAACACACCCATTAAGCACGTTAAGCCAACCAAAAAATATTTGGCTTAGCGGTATCGTAGCATTTGGCCTCCTAGAAAGTCAGAAGTTTAAAACCTCACAAAAATGTGAGGAAGGTGTGTGAATTTATTTGCATGCATTTGCCGTATGTTAATATTTTATACTTTAACGAAAGGCCCTAATGAATGTTTGGTTTGAAATGTTTCTAAATATCTTAATTTCGGACTTTCCTTTAAACCAAATGCATCATTGAAATGGAATTCAGTTCTGCGCAAACCAAACGAGCCCTTAGGTCCCGTTTGGTTTGCAAGATTTGGGGGGATTTGGATTTCAAATCCATTCCAATCCCATATTTGGTTTGTTGGATTGTCTGAATTTGAAATTCTACAGACATATGTTTTTGAAATCCTTAAGAGATGCTGGGGATTTCACGAGATTTCGTAGAATTGTATGAAATAAGATTTTAAAAACATTTGTTTTGTAATAATCGATTAATAAAAATATAATTTAATTGTGTTTTTAAAATAATGGAATCCAATTCCATTCCAAATCCTACAAACCAAACACACCAATGATTTCAAATTCATTCCAATCCCAATCCAAATCCAAATCTTAATCCCTCCATGAAATCCAAATCAACAAAAACCACAAGCCAGCAAAACAAAAAAAAGTCGCAAATTCCGTAACTTATCATTCGATTTCATCAAACCAAACAACACATAACAATAACCACGAGCCCGAGAAGGCTCGCCTCAGAGCAACGTTAGGCGGCCCAGGCTTCAGTGGTCAACATAAGCAACATTTTGTATCGAGTTTCCGAAAACAAACACCTGCTACCATAAACAAAAAAGTGCAACAACCCGAACAACAAACACGTCCCCAAATACCCGATAACCGACACCCCGAAAGCCGGCCATACGTCCAGATAACCCAATAAACAACAATTCACCAGACAGGAACCAAACCGTTCGAAATCACGGCCAAACTGCGGCTAGCATCATACCAGTCTTTACACCTACTGTTACACCATTTTCTATACAAAACCCGAACCGTTGACCAAACCCGGCTCCACGCTACCACCCACAACTCCATTATTGTACAACCGAGTGCGTAGAGCGCGAAACTACCGCACCAAAATGTATCGAAAACGAACAAAAAACGGTTCAAAATCCTAACCAGATCAAAATCCCTACATACTTTTAATTAAAATTACGAAAAAGATTTTTCACCGGGTGTCGCCTGCATCACCGAAATTCTCAGACCGCGTTGAACTAATACCCAACGCTGCATTTATCCTACCGAAAACGACCTTCAGCGGTACACACGCTAGTCCCGGTTTCTTGAACTTACCCGTTTCATTCAGTCTCTTGGAACCCGTTAACGATGATAACCTTCGAATCTTTTTGTTAGATAAAATCCCGTTTCTCCTCGGTTTTTTGGGGGACTTCCCCGGAGACCCACGAGTTTCTTGAACTTGAAGCCAACCGACATCCCCATCTAACTCGCAGCTACTACTATGGCATTCGGAACCGTTCAAAGAAAGATCAGAAACGCCATTGTCCAAAACCTCGACAACGATCGGATGGCCAGTTATTGGTTGACCGGTCAACTTGCTCATGAGCGATATGTATGGAACATGATGAGGCCGATGGCCGGTTTTAACCTCGATATTGACGTCATACAGAGAGCCAATATCATGTTTTCTGTATGAAAGATCCGACGACTGATATTTTGGATTAACCGTAAAACGAGATTGGCGATAGGGCAGCAATCTTTGTGGGGCCGTTATCTCAACTGTTTGGCCTTCGACAACTTGTTCCATGCTGTCGGTTCTTGACGGAACCACATCGGCATCATTATCGACAACATTTGTATCCAGAAATTTCGACTTACTTTTGCTTTTATTTCTCGAATTTCTTTTCCCTTTATGCTGCCATTTTGAAGTACCTTTGTTATCGATTCTATGGCTGATATCGCTGATACCAGCGGCCCCCGAACTGATGGAACCGGATTCTTGGATTTCATCGTGTCCCGCCGACACGGTCTCGATTAGACTACTTTGGCCGGATTGAGCTCCGACACCGGCCTGCGGCTTTTCCGATATCGGAGAAAAATCTGGTGATTAAAACATGTATCAGTGAAACGAAGGTTTAAAATTTGCCCAAACAACTACGAAATCGGCTTTATGGAACGTCAAAAAGTCTAAACGTCCTATCAGACTCCTTTATAGGACTCAAGTTTGTGGGTTCAACCAACTGTGTATCCTACGTAAATGTGTTACAATAAGTTGATAGAACATTTTTGGGCGTCAGCAGTCTTTTTATATGACATTATTTGAAAAAATACTAATAAAAACGCTATAGAAATTCTAGAGTAAATTACGTTTCCGTCCCTGTGTTTTGTTGAAAATTGCTATTTCTGTCCCCATGTTTTTGAAATAACAATTATCCCTATAGTTTACAATTCATTGTTGTTTTCGTCCTTATAATTTAGGATTTATTGCTCTTTTCATCCCTGTGGTTTCCAATTCTTTGTTGATTTCGTCCCTCAATTAAAAGATAGGAGGTTAGCCTTGGAGACGAAAATAGCAATGAATTGCAAACCTAGGGACAAAAAACAAAATTTCAAAACCACAGGGATGAAAAACGTAATTTACTCAAAAAATATCTAATAGGCCACATCATTTCAAAAGTGCCCTAAAAAACTTGTTGCTATACCCAAATATGTCATAACATCCTTCTGTAACATTTATATATATATATATATATATATATATATATATATATGGTCCAATGGTTTGTTAAAAGTGGCGATTTTCGTCCCCGTGGTTTAGAAATTGCTGTTTTCGTCCCTATAATTTGTAATTCATTGCTATTTTTGTCCTTATGATTTACAATTTATTGTTGTTTTGATCTCTGTGGTTTACAATTCCGTACCGTTTTGGTCCCCCATACTTACAGGTAAGAATTAGTCTAGGGACGAAAATAGCAATAAACTGTAAACCATAGGGACGGAAATCACAGTTTCTAAACCACAGAGACGAAAATGAAATTATCATCAAACCAAAGAGACGAAAACCGTAATGTACCCTAAATCTTATTGGCGTCCTATAAAATCGATCTTGTTGCGTCAAAAATAAAAACGGAAATCAGAATAAAAATCTGTAACAACAAGCATACCTGCGGTCTGCTTTTCTTCTCCGATAAAAGGGACGTCAAAGAGCCTTACGATAGAATCATTCTCGGCTAATTCCGAAATGCTCGAGATCTCGTTCTCTTTCTGTTTGCAATTTGTCAAAAAGACGTTATTCGAGGCATCACCGGTACTGTCCGAGTTATTGTTGATCACCACCGAAAAACTTCTCTTCGATTCATTACATTCTAATCCCGACACTTTATTGTCGGAACCGTTCGGAAGGAACGATCCCGTCACCCCAGTGACTTGTTCACACATAACTGGAACCGTCACCATGGCAGTGCTCTCCAAAACCTTCGTCAATTGCCGGCGTCTGTTTTTCTTTTTCAGGAACTCATGAACGTGAGCCACTTGAGACCGCCGCCTCTTAAACGACGAATTCCCAGAGACTCCGATGTCTTCGAGCCCTCTCATACGCTTCTTACTTCCTTCTATTCCGTCATCTTCCGAATCATTGGGCGTCCGCCGCCTCCCGCCCTGCAAAGAGTCATCTATCAACGCACCACCTTGAGACAACTCCGGTGGAGAATTCGACATGTATTCCAAGCCGCTCAACTTATCGGATGTACCTTCAGTTTCTTCTTCAGGATGAAAACAAATGGGTGATTCCTCTACATCGGGTTTTTTACCTCCCGGCTTTTCCATCTGTGGATGATCTTTAGAAATTTGGGAACTTTCAAGCTCAAGAGCGTGAAGAATTGCATCTTCCCTACGTGCATATTTAACGGCTTTTTTGCAAGAAATAGCTGCAGAAACCTTTGCTTTCTCGATACATTCGTCGTATTCTCCACATCGAAATGCCTTTACACGTTTAGATTTCTCGAGATTATACCAGTCCCTGCATCAGAATGACCAACAAGCGTGTTAAAGAAAAGGATGAGGAGGGAAGCATATAAAAACGAACAACAGAACTTTTACAGCACAAATCGTTTGAATCTATAAACTTAAGTCCTATAAAGCAGAGGCTAAACCCTACAAATCGTTTGAATCTACACAACAGACGATTATGATATTTTCTATTTAAATCAATCTAAAATACTAGAATGACATTAGAATCACTAGGTGTAACGAAAACTAGGGAGATGGGGAAAGCTTGGTAAATTACCAAACTACCCCTCATATTAAATCTCTAAAACCTTCCACAATTCTACACCCACCAACCTCATTCTCACCCATCAAGTCCTGTTTGCATACCAAACGCACGTCTTATTTATATGCAAGAGAGCATATCCATAAAGATGAAAGATAATGCAGAAAAGGTTCCAGAAGAATCTTGGGAGGGACCCACAGAAGTCTTTAGTCAAGTTAAGGTGCAATATGCATACCATCTATCATAGATAATCTTTGGGTTCTTTGGTTAAATGACCTTCTTACAGGTTTGCGAATGCCACTTTCATACACAAGAATGCCTATAAACTTGTCAGACGGTCGTGGAATTAAAAAGCACTAGTCAAAGGTCATTTAGCTAAATAAACAGATCCTCTCTTTGTTGTGGGAACTTCATGTTCCAATTTAGAAACTTGGGAGAAGCTGATTTGCAAAAATCGGTATAAGAGACCATGGTGGAACCTAGCAAAGAGGTGATGGTGAACATTTTTGGATGAGGCCTCTTGACCAAGTTGGAAGGCAAGGATCAGAAACAGATGGTAGAAGTTGAACCAGATGATGTTGCTTCAGTAAGGATTCAGTCACAAAACCTCAAGCACAAAAACTTCACTTCCCGTAATTGATGGTGACAATCCATGTAATTGGTCATCTGGTTATGTAAATACAACTTATTCAAATAAAGACTAGGCCTTGGGATTCCTCCCATAGAGAGCCAGTTCGAGTCTCCTCAGGGCCACTGGGGAATTCCTGGTTGTTATCTTCAGGGCCCCATGGGATTGATCGAGGTGCAGGCAAGCTGACCCAAACCATTTGAAACTATGTGAAGCTATAAGGGCAGTCTTCAATGTTGTGGATCCCGGTTTAAATGACGGATTTCTATTAGAGTCTTCCATTAATGGACTTAGTGATAATATATTGGTAAGAATCGGAGAATGGCAGCCTATCACCTTGATCCAGACCATCAAATTAGCTTTAAGGGGGGAAGAAATGGTGGTAAATACCGTATAGAAAACACAGGGAGCAATAAGATACGCAATCACCAGATCCTTACCTATGGTGGGAAAGACTAATCCCCCCACACGGCCACACCACAGTACATCGTGTGATAAGGTTGTGCCAGAAGGTGTTCCAATGAGAGCTATGGAAAAGGGCCCCCAAAATTTTTTAGCCCAATAATATATATTTAGCCTTTAGCCCAATTATACATGTTTTAGGCTTTTATTCTTTTAGGGGGTGTTAGGTTTGATAGAATGGTTTTGAGAAAATTTGGATTTCGTGGAAGGATTTGGAATTGGAGGGATTTGGATTTGGAAGGATGTTGAATATTTGGTGTCTTTGGTTTGTATAATTTGAAATGGAATTGAATTGCACCTTATAAAAAATTTAGAAAAACAAATTAAAAATAATTACAAAAATTATTAAATTATCTTTTTATTAATTGATTATCATAAAACAAATATTTTCAACATATTTTAAAACGCTATTATACACAAATCCTACAAACTCCCACGAAATACCAACAACCCCCATGGGATTTCTAAATCCCGGGATTTCAAATCCAAGCAATCCTTCAAACCAAACATGGGATTGGAATGGAATTGAATTCCAAATCCTATCCAATCCTACAAACCAAACGGGACCTTGGCCATTTTGGCGATTCCTGAGTCCAATTTTTGAAGAATGTTAGAAGAATGATTCTATTTAAGTGAATTTCATATATGGTATGAATTTTTATATTTTGTTTTATTTATTACTCGTCTAGTCGATCTATAGTCTTGCTAATAGGGTCACCAGAAAGATTGGAACGACCCTTCCCTAACTAATTAAGGCTACACCCATCACTTATAGCCAGAGCAAGATGAGCCTCTCTTATTACTCGTGAGTGTGAAGAGTAAGAGCCATACTTGCTCCGAAGCCAAGCTCCATATGATGATATTCGAGGTGAATGAAGAAGAGGTTTTGTTTTAAGTACTAGAGGACACACAAAAGAAGGAAAACCTCTAGATATTGAAAATGTTGAGGACAAGACATGCATGTCATAAGTGGCAGTATTTGGGGCTATGTTGTTAATAGCGGTGCAATAGCGGTTCACGGTCCAGGAAGGAATTGAGATCCTAAATAACGGTGCCGAGAATTGCAGTGCGATTTACCACTAAATGGCAGCTTTTTACACAAATTAGTGGTCCGAATAACCGCTATTTGTGGTTGGGCTTTTTTGGTCTAACGAGCTTATATTGGACCTACTTAAATGATTTGGGCTTTTATTTTGGACTTGGACTTGTTTTTTAATGATTTAAATCATTTAATCCACCTATTAACCGTCAACGATTATAAGATTTAGATTTTCAACATCATCGAGAATCCAACCACGTTTCCTAAATCCTTCCACCATCATTCTAAGTCTATTAGTACAAATAGAATATGTTCCTTTCCAGTCCTTGTGAGCCACTGATTTCTCTGAAACATGAGATCAAAGTGAATTTCTTTTTTGGGGACTATTAGTTTATTAGTGAATTTCTTTTTTATATTGATGACACATAATATGTTAAGTTTTTTATATTTTATAATATATTTATATATATTATGTTTATAATTCTAAATATTTATATGAATTGCTATACCACCGCTTAACCATAGCGTTAACCGCTATTTCAAATCACAATACTAACCGCGATTTGGTATTTTGACTGTTCTAACAGCATCGATTAGGGGTTAGTAATGTGAGAGTACAATGGCATTGCAAGAAACACACCTTCAATGTCATTGATTTGGGCTCCTCCCATAATATTTTGGATTCCCATCAGGCTAAAATCATGGTTGTGTGACAATGGATGCTAGTCCTACGATAATCACAATTGGAAATAGGGAAATCATAGTAAGAACGGAGGTTTTGTTGAATGTTGTTGTGCTGCTCAAAACTGGAACAAAGGGAAAAAAATCATTCCATGAGACCTAGGTACGCCGATCCTAGGTCGCATAGAGCACATCGCATAGCAACGAGACATTTTTGGTGATTGTGGCACATTCCACGCGACGTGGCCACCATCGCATAGCCCATCTGGGCCTGTTTGGACGATTTTCTTGGCGGATTTTGTGGGTTTTATACCCATTTTGGCCCCTGCCCCCTGTTCACATTTTCCATATATAAGCCATTTAGTTTCAATTTTTGTTAAGTTTTTATAAAAGGAAAAAGAACATTGTAGTTCTTCCATAGCTAGAGAGAGGAGAGCTTACTCCATTTGGCTTTCTAATAGTTTTGGGTGATCAATCTCTATTATAAGTTGCTTTGTACTGTGTATTAATACAAGTGATCTATCTCTTTTGGTGGAATTATACTACACCATGGTAGTGGAACCATGTAAATATTGGTTGTTTATCATTGTATTGCCTCTGATTTAGCTTGTGATTGGTATAGTATGCTTGAAAAGCCATTTACTCGTATTTTGGGACCTACGAGATTGTCTGTGGGTTTGATTAGCAAGGTTAGATCCCTTACAAGTGTGCTGCACTTTTACGTGGAAGATGTGGGGCAAGAAATTTAGTACAAAGGGAGACTTGTTCATCTAGGTGGGTGTGATGTGGTATTGGGACTAAAATGAGTTGATACCCTAGATCTATGCAAATGCATTCTTAAAACACAAAAAGTTTCAATGGGTTGTAGGGCCTCAAAAAATTAGGGGCCCAATTTTATTTTATTTACATAGTAGTCGTCCAAAAAATTAGTATATAAATAATCCCAATTTTTTGTATATAATAAGAGCCCAAAAATAATTTAATAGATAAGAATGGCCTAAAATGCATTAACTAATTATATGGGAGAAGAAAATTTGTAAAAAGTTATATGATCGTTCGTTCATAGCTGCTGCTTATTGCTTCTCTAAGTTTTTTTATTTGATTTCAAGGTCCAAGACTATTGGCTATTGCTATCTCTATCTGTTGACCGCTTCCATGCTTCAACAATTTAATAGACGAATCAAAGCTTTAACCTTTAAGCTCATGTGTTTGTATTGTTATATGTTTTTGTTGGCGTTCTTATATGCATTTGCTTCTATTGGCTATTTCTATATGCATTCGCTTCTATTGCCTATTTCTATATACATTTGCTTCTATTGGCTATTTCTATATGCATTTGCTTCTATTGCCTATTTCTAGTCTGCTTCAATTGTGCTTGATTGCTTTTTGTTTCTGGTGACTATTGCTATTTGTTTGTGTTGTCTCCATAACTACTTATGTTGGCTATTGTTATATGTTTTTGCTTCTATAGTAGGTATTGTACTATTGTTTCACAGTTATGTTATTTGTTATTGACGATCCATCTATAGTTCTTATGAGTTATGACCCGTTTCATGGTTTTGTGATTGAGCAATCAATTTTTCATGTTATGTGTTCAACCAATTCCCTTGAGTATGTTATGTTCCATAAACTTTCATTTAGAACATCTTATTTTTGTAGAGCAAGAAAAGAAGAAAAAGGAATTCAAATATTTCCATCAATAGCTTGACTTCTTCATCTTTTTCTATGACTCCACTACACACCATGACATCCAATTTAAGTGTTCAACCAACCATTCCTTGAGCTTGGAGATCATAGGTCTCGTTCGTTATTTTTTTCTATTTGATTCTCAATGAATCATCTTTTCTCCCACATTCCCATTGATTCTCCTATGTCATCTTTCCCCAAAAAAAAACTTAATAATCTTCTCCATCATTCATCTCCCACTGACTCTCTCAATTATTTCCTTCATTAGTTCCTTTTTGTACCTTCTGAAAAATTACCAACCATGGTAGATGGCCCGACTCATATCTCTAGCTTAGGATTTCAAAACTACCATTGCTTTTTCATACATTCTTAACTGTTAATTACCTAATATTGAGTACGTCAATCTTAAGTACTTTCTTATCTACAAAGATGGGAGTTTTGACTCTAAAGTTAATGGTTCCAAAAAGGTTTGTTTTAACCCTAAAGGTTAAAGACACTGACAGATAAAACTTAACATGGAGGTGAGATAGAAACCCAAATAATTTATATGGTTTCACACAAAGTGTTACTTTAAACAATCAACATTGTGACCCAATTGATGTCAATATACAGATGGTATGTGTATCATAGCATGTTTTTGATGGTGGAACGGATTGACGATTCTATGTATTGAAAATTATGTCAAATAATATTAATTTGGAAACGATGATTCATAGGATGAAAAAAAAGATGTTTCATAAAATATTGTACTTATTAGTTATTGAAACTTGCGCACGTGTGACTAGCATAGGTCTTGTTAGGCTACAAACGAGCAGCCTACATATTTTAGCAAGTTTTCAAGCCACAAATTGGACCCTCTTATGACAACCAAACCAAACAAACCCATTATATCCCGCTCAGAAGCAGGGTCCGGTAGGGATGGGATGTACGCAGACCTAACTGAACAACTATTTCCATGAAGACCCCCTGCTTGTGCAAAAGTGCGAGTGGAAAAGAGAAGATACTGACAAGTAGAATAACTAAGATTAGCAGGGCCCTCTCAACAAATGAAAAGGAAATGCAAGTTATTCTCTTTGCAGTCAAAAATATAAATAACATGTAAGTTATAATCCTTCTGTTATTAGGACTAACCATCGGCCTCTCAAGTAATATTCCAGGCAGAGAATAACCACAATTTGCAACAAAAATGAGTCACCAAACTTCTAGAATTGAACTATTAAATCCAGTGCAAGAAGAGTAAGAAGAATGCCTTAGTAGATTGGTTATCAAGAATGAGGATGGGAAACTCATAGTTGTAACCATACTAGTGCCTACTTAGATTCCTAAGGTGCATCAGAGTTGGTCAGGTTCAGAGGATCAAGATGCGACGCTATATCATTAACGCAGAGGCTGCTTTGAGTAAGACATGGCCAAAGGAATTCTATTTACAAAATGAAATATTAATGTGTAGATGCAAAATGTGAACAGGTGTTCAAGGAATTACATGCTTCAGAAAATAAAGTAGAAAAACTCTCTGAGCGTGTGTTTGGTATGCGGACAGAATTGGATATTAGTACATGACTGGAAGGGCGGGAGTGGGCATGCAAAGGTAAGGAAGCGGGTTGAAGAATTGTAGAAGTTTATAGGATTTTTAATTTTACATGAGTAGTTTAATAATATACTAAGCTTGTCCCATCTCCCTATTTTTATTCCACCTACTTTGGTAGGACAGAAAAATGGTCCTACTCAGCTACTTTTCTGTCACCAAATGTGGGACAAGTTTTTGTATTGTACTGTCCAATCCTGTCCCGCATACCAAATGCACCCTTACATGCTACATCAAAGAAAGACATCAAGAGTTGGACATTAAGTTGCAAACAAAGATCGAAATATCAGAACATGGCCAAACCAGGTTTAATGCAGCCTCCCTCAAAACCCCACAAAATGTAGACTAAGATTTCTACGGTTTTAATATTGGTTGTCCAAATAAGAAGGTAAAATGCTATAATGGCAGTAGTGAACAAGCTAAACAAGTATGCACATCTCATTCTCATATCCTTAAGCCCTTAACACACCCTTTCTCAGCAATAAATTAGCAAAACTTAGCTCAGCGCTCCATCCAGAATTCCAAATTAATCTATGGGGTTTCAAACAGACAAACACATGATAGTAAACTAGCTACCATATGCCCATAAATTGAACAAAGTAACTGCAATCAACAACTTGAAAGAAATTAGGGTAACAACTAACACCACAAACAGCCCAACAAATTTCATTCAGCTTCAATCAAAAACAGTAATAACTGTGATAAAAAAAAAAATGCAACTTACACACTTGCATCCTCTCTTCCAAGTAGCTTCACCGGAGTACCCGATCTCGGCGAAACCAAAGAACTTTCCGGTAACTCATCAGGCCCCAATATCCGACCCGGCCACCACGACCCATTTCTACGCCGGACCCAAACCAACCCACCCACCGAAGGGTCAATACTTTTACCGTTTGCTTCAAAAGAACTCCCCATTTCCCAATAGCGTCAACAAAAACCCAATAATCCCTTAACCCAATTGCAAGCTCTCCATCCTCTAACGGCAACAACAAAAAAACCCCAAAGATACTTATCGGATAGATAAATATATCAAGAAGAGGAAATTTCGATGACCCAATGCCTTTTGCTCCCAAACCCTAAAACCATGTAAAACATTAAATATCAATAATCGTGCATGCAAGGACAAACCCAATATAGATGAGACAAATAAATTTGATCCAAGTAAATTCAGTTAAGCTTAAAACCCAACAAAAAACATACGGATGGGTTTATGAAGGAGATGAACAGATCCAAAAGCAAATTAAAAAAGAAGAAGATTCGAATTCCATGTTTTCAAAAACAGCAAAACGATTTCGTTTGGGTTTATATATCAAATGCTTGCTTCTTTTTTGTTCAAATTTCCTTCAGATTTTGATCATCAGACCGCCGTTTTGCTTGCGATACGATGGAGGGTGTGTGAGATATGTGATTGATGAACCAAAACCTTGGTGGGTTCTGATTCGGAATGAGAATAGACGTACCTTTTGGTATCTTTTTGCCAAAAACAGAAGAACAGAGCAAGAGAGAGAGAGAGAGTTGAGAGCGGTGTGAGTGTGGGTGTGTGAGAGAGAGATTGTGTTTTGATTAATTTATGTTTTTATTTTTTGAAGTAGGGAAGACTACAGGGTTTTAATCATCTGCCACCATTAACCTAGGGCACAGATTTTATCAACAAAATCTACAACTCTCCCCTTGACTTTTATATATTTACAATTTTGATCCCTGTTATTTAGCCGATTGGTCCGAAATCCGAACCCGAACCGAACCAAACCGAAAATAAGGTATTTATGTGAAACCCAAATGATCGGAAATCTGAAAATCCGAAAACCAACTTTCGGGAAAATTTTAGGCTCGGGTTATGATTGATTTTTGGCCATCCGGTCCGTCCGAAAACCCGAAATACATATACATATATATTTTAAATACGAGGCTTAATCATTTGAGCACTCCATAATTTGTGAGATCCGTAAGAATTTCTACCTTAATGTTTTGTTTCACATGAATTTTTATGTCTAAGGATAGTATTTAATGTACTAATTAACATATATTTGTTTCACAATGTGTTTGTATCGTATGTATTCGGTTCACAAAGTGAAACTTTTTTACGTGTGTTTTTTATTCACAAACATGTCGAAAGTGTTCACATTATGAACCGAGTACATATAAAACAAACACATTGTGAAACAAATATGTTGAACATTGTTCCAAATCCTGGTCTTGGATGGAAATAAAATCATATGAAATAACACATGATATAAAAGTTCTCAAGGTTATCACAAGTTTATGGGTTCTCAAAAGAATATCCCCTTTTTAATTACTTAAATACTATATAAATATATTTATTTATCTAATTATCTTTTAAAAATTCTAAAAATCCTAGTCAATTCGTGCTTTTTTTTTTGTAAGCATACTATCGATTTATCAACGTTGATCCAAACTATCTCAATGATTTGATAATGACCCTACATGCTTGGTGAAAAATACTTGTTGTAATTTTTGTCGAGCTTCAGCAATCATCTCTAAGTTTGTTCAGTGATCGCTGAACATGTGCTATAAATGTTTCAAATAAAACAAGTATTCCCCAAAGACAAAACCTGACCAGAACCTACAGCAATCCAAAATCCAAATATCGGGGATCTTGTATATGAAATCCGATTGGTTTTTAATTAGCTCACCCGACCCCGCCCAATGCATACTCCTAATGTTATTGTTAGAAAAACGAAAAAATAGAACGATTACGAACTTGGTTCAAGAAAATAAAAAACAAATACTAAGAAGTCGTTTTATCAAGTAAACGTTTACTGGACGTCACGTTTCTTATGAAGTGGTCATGGTAAGGATCGATAGTTTTACCTGACAATAGACATGTCAACGATCGAAAAGCTTACTTGATAAATGAGGAATAAAACTCTTACCTAGTTAATATTTAACGGGTAAAAGATGTTTACCAACAATACGTTTCGATGGTTGTGAATGCTAACCAATAAGGTAATTGAGGATGGTGACTTTTGTCAATAGCGCTTACTCGGTAAGTGTTTGGTAAATGTCTCATATGACAATTACAAGCCCAAACAAGCAAAATAAGAATGGAAACCATAAGAGCATCTCCAACAAATTCTCTAAAGCCTTATCTAAAATGGAGAAAATGGAAAAGAGATGATGAAACTCAAATTTGGATAACTCCCTAAAAATGATTATTTAGGAAAGATAAATTATTTTTTATTTATGAGAAATATTGAAATTAAATGTTTAGCAGATATAAATAATATTTTATTAATTGTACTGAATATTTTAATAATGTAATTAATGTGGTAATCTGTACTATATTATAAAACATTTGACAAAAACTCTTAAAAACCATTTTTTATGCACGAAGTACTGTTTATTGATGCATATTATTTAAAATTCAAGATTACAAGTAAATTGTGCGTAAACACAACTTATCAAAGCTCAATGTTTGAATTCGTGTGACTAACTGTAAATAAACGTAATCAAATACGGGATAAACATCTTATTTTAATATAAAAAATCTAAAAAATAATTAGGATAATTATTGAATTCTAACAAAATATTTAATTATCATATTTATAAAAAATTATATTATTAAACATAAATTAAATTACTTTGTTACGTAAAATTAAATTATAATACAATTTTGAATCAAAGAAATTGCACAAAACAATAACTTTTTAAATAGTTAGTTTGATACTGATATCCATTTATTATTTTTAGAATTTCTTGATATTTTAAAATTTATATTTTATTCAAAAATAAAAACATTGTTGCTTTCTCAAAACCGTATTATATCAGCATAAATAAATTATAAAACGATACATTGAAATCAAGACATGTCTCAATGCATTGTACGAGTACCATTTTAGTTTTCAAAATAGATAAGTCGTTAGAGATTGAAGTTATCTGTCTTTGAAAATTTTAACTTTTAATTATTAAATTTAGAGAATCTGTTGAAGATATGCTCCAGAATTTTAAAACCCAACTAACGCTAAAAATATAATATTTCAAAACCAACATGAATTTTATTTTTTCTGTAATTGAAGATTGAATGTTTCTAATACTGTATATACACTTTTAGGGTTGGGTTCACGTGAGACAAAGTTGTTTTCGTGAGACATGATTTTTATACTTGAAGCTTCACAACAAAATGTTATAAAGGTAAAAAAGCCGAATCTTCATAGCAAAAACATTGTGAAGATTATCTTCACAGTGTTTTGTTGTGGTGTTTCAAGTGTAAAAATCGTGTCTCATGAAAACAATATTGTCTTACATAATCCTAAGTCTACACTTTGATGCTTTTATAATCTAAAGTTGTAATGCTAGTAATTAACTTCATCTGATATAATTGTCGATAATCTATTTAAGAAGTGTTAAATTAGGAGAGTGAGACGATAAAATTTAAAATTAAAAAACGAGGCAACGGTCGTTTAAAACCCATACCGGGTTTTTTTCCCCGGCATTGGAACCAGTTTTGAAATGCATGTGCCTTGTACACACACACGCACATATATGCCACGTACAAGAAGGGACAAAACTGGATTGAATAGGACGGGACTGTTGTTTATCTTGCACTTGGTATGACTTGAATAGGACTGAACAAAACTGTTAAAATGATTAGATATTATAAAATGTTGTTGAGTAATTTTCGCATACAAATAATTTTATAATAACACATACATATCTACATCTATATACCTAATAAATAAGTAATTTTGAGGACATGTGTCATGTTTCTGTGCGACGATTATTGATTTTTTCCGATTAAACATGTATCTAGACACAATTTTCACTTACGGTTCAAATAAGAGTGACATTTGTCCCTCTACACGTTTATGTTCATGTTTTCGTGGTTTAACTTGTAACATCCAATTTCTAATATGCCCAATTATTTGCATAGTATATTTAATTATTGAGTTAAATAGAACTTATGATTTAGTGGGAGTTTGGGTCTGAAGTTTTAGAATTTTATTTCTTAAGAATATATTAGAGGATTTGGAAAATATCACATCAAATAGATACGTAAAACGGATTTTTTGGGAGATTTTTTCTGGAATATTTTTGTTGGATGTTATAGATTTTCTCTTTATGAACGTGTAGGCGAAAACCTCATAGAAAACGGAGGTTCGAGCGAAAAGTTATGAATATTTTAAGTGTTGATAGTCAAAATTGGTACCTAGCCGGGCCAACCCGGCCCAACTCGAGTTTTAGCATTATAAATTGAATTTTGGGCCCATTTTTCATGTCATCTAAGTCCAGAACTCACATACACACTAGATGTGAGATTTTCACACACATAGGCTCGATTAAACTCAAATCAAATAAGAACTACAAGATCTTTGGAGTATTTGATCATCAAATAAGGTATAATTCATTCTTTGCACTTGTTCTTGGTTGACATTCTTGTTATATGGATTGCATGTTGAGTTAGAGTTAGGGTTTCATATGAGTTTGATCTTAAGTGTATAAAATGAGTGCATTTTAGTGTCTATGGCATGAAATGGTCATTAGATTTAAGAGATTATCGAGATTTATGCAAGTTCATCATATGAACTTTGACTTGATTAAGTCAATGATTTGGGAGATAATATAAATGATAAAATAAATGTTGGATTTTGGTTGTTTATGTCAAATATGTTATATTAAGTTGAGATTCAGAAGTTGGAATGGTTTGGAATTGAAATGGTTTGAGAAAAATGTATGAAAATGAGAATTTCGACTTTTGAATGCATTGAAAGTGTGCAGACTTTGAAAAACTGTATAAAATAATGAGGTGAGACCAATTTTCTTAGTTAGATATTTTAGTCTAGTTTATTTCTTATTTTATGATCAAAGCATGAATTCGAGCTTAAAATGGGCAAAACAGTTCTGCATGCAGCAGATGTACATAGAAATTTAGGTAAAATGTTCAAATAAGATATGTGTATATCATGAATTTCTTATATTGGTTACTTATGAGATTTTGTACATTTACTCCAGGGGTAATTAAGACATGTTTTGATAATTTGGAAGCAATATAAGTTTGGTAGATTGGACTTGCTTTGTAAGCTCTTTCGGAGCTTTTCGGTATTGTACGGTTGTCCGGTGAGTTATATAGTTAATTGTTACATATTGATCTGAACATATATATTTTCATATGAATGTTTTTGGTTTTGAATGAAGTCACACGATCTTGATTTGTCTTTGATTCCGTCTCTTGAGTCGATTCCTTATTACTATCTCGGTACATCGGTTTGCTTTATGGATCCGGACTCGTTGTTTTGTTCCTTGAATTGTACGCCATAGTACGGGTACTATTTCGTGTAGTACACCGGAAGTTTATGGCGAAGTCAAGATCCCGGGTTGGACGGGTGAGACTTTCTACGGTTGTGAATACTCATTGCTCGAAGAGGAGGAAGAGCAATGAGTAGGGAACCTTGGCACATACCCGGTAGAGGAAGGTGGGCGGTGCGAGGTGAAGGACGGGGTGATGCACTGTCCTCGTTATGTATACCGATTCGATCTCTTGGTTCTTGATATTTATTGGTATTCTAACGTTGCTGAATATATTTGGTTGTTGATCCTGTCTCCTTGTTGTATTGAGCATCAATGGTATGGTATACTATGGTGATTTGAATATGGAATCCTGTGATCTTAGCATCCGGTACGTAATTGTTCACTCGGTTCCTTGTAAGTCTCGGTTTACATCTGGATGATGTCTTGAACTATTTTATTGATAAGAGTTTATTATGTATGTTTATGAACATGTGCGATATTGATATGTAATACTTAACTATTTAACTCACTAAGCGTTGTCTTACCATTTAAGTGGCAACCTCTCTCAGGAAAGAAGACGGACAAAAAGAAAGAACCCGTTGTTTGGCTTGAAGATTTATCGGGGAACTTGAAGATATCGATCTTGCTTTTGGGTAAATAGTAGCTTATTACCGTATCTCATAGTTGTAGTATGTGTAGCTTATATATAGTATTGTCCCGTATTCTTTTGCTACATAATTCGGGTTGTAAGTAAAAACTCCGTTATATCCGGTTTGGAATTGTGTTTTGGGTGGTTTTATCACTAAAATAGAACGAATATTTCGAAGTTTTCTAGAAAATTAATATCCCATATTTTGAGGTTAATTAATGTTATGTCCAATTCTGTGTGTTTCGAAGGGTTGGTCCATTTTCATCGCCTCTAGTCCATTTTCATCGCCTCTGGACCAATGCATCGCCTCTGGTCCATTTTCATCGCCTCTGGACCATTTTATCGCCTCTGGTCCATTTTCATCGCCTCTGGTATTCTTTCAGACTTAGCCATTTTAGTAGTCTCTGGTCCATCGCCTGCCTCTGGACCAATTCATCGCCTCTGGACTTCTTCCAGACTTAGTCATTTCAGCAGCCTCTGGTCCATCGCCTGCCTCTGGACCAATTCATCGCCTCTGGACTTTTTCCAGACTTAGTCATTTCAGCAGCCTCTGGTCCATCGCCTGCCTCTGGACCAATTCTTCGCCTCTGGTCTTCCTCCAGACTTAGTCGTTTTAGCAACATTTTCAGATTTTTCATTCTTGACCCCGATTGCTTTGACAAAACTTTTAGAATAATTAAGATCAATTTTAGTCTCAATAATCAATAAATTACATTTTATTGGGGATTTAATAAAATTGGTAATTTGGGGTTTGCTCAAGTGAGATGTTTAATAACTGAATTTAAGTATGAATTTAACTCTGTAGTGGCCTCCAGACTTACAACATAACTCTGAGAAAATTCAGAGTTGTAAGTCTGAATTTAACTCTGGAGTGGCATCCAAACTTGCAACATAACTCTGGGAAAATTCAGAGTTGTAAGTCTGAATTTAACTCTGGGGTGACCTCTATACTTATAACATAACTCTGGGAAAATTCAGAGTTGCAAGTCTGAATTTAACTCTGGAGTGGTCATCAAAACCGGATTTAAAATTTAAAATTTGAATTTTTGAAACATTTTTCACAAAGCAATATTACCTGGAAAAAAAAGAAAAACCGTATCATGGTGGGACCAAGACTTTTTTTTAATATATTTTTGTTACCTCTCATGAACTTTTAACTAATTACAAAATAGACCTTTTTATTTTATAATTGCCTTTTTTTTTCCAATCAAAATGTAAAAAAGATTCCATTTGATAGAAAGAAGAGCAATTACAAAACCAAAAGGTCTATTTTGTAATTATTTGAAAGTTTGTGGGAGGTAATTTGAATACTCTTTTTACTGCAGTGACGGTGACGGTGACGGTGATGCGACGAGGTTGTACAATAACTACAGTGAGGAGTGAAACACATGAATAAAACCAACGTCATACTGTTTTTCTTCATTAGGTCTTCAAAGAGCGATTGACGGAGAGACTGTGAGTTTGGTCGCCATTGAATCGGAAGAGCACGGTACAAGCTTTGGAGGATAAAGTACAACCGCAGAAATGACAGGTAAATACTTCAGGATGAATCGTTCTCAAATTCTATACGAATTACTGTGAAGACTGAATGTTTTGGATTGGAAAACAGTATGAATTCTATTCGCAGTTGATATGTGTTGTTAGTTGGTTTATTAGAAAGTAGGATGTTAGCTTTTGTTGTTGTTGTTGATTGTGTGTGTGAATTGGTGTACCTTGCGATCGAAATTGAAGTAAAGTGGAGCTGATTTGGGAGATTTTTGATATGTGGTAGTTGAATTTATGTGTTTATTCGACTAGGTTAGATGAATTCTTTTGTAAATGATTCCAGATTGTTTAGGCTTCTTGTTATCGTGATTGGATACTTATTCTCTGTTAATTTTGCTAGAAATTTCATGGAATGATTTTGAATGATAGCAAAAGGTCTTGATACCATTCACTTAATTGCGTAAAAACCAAGCCGCCAGAGAAGAGAGCAGGCGATATGATGCATAAACTGGTCTATAGACCCTTAAACATGTAAATGCATATTCTCATTGGCTGTTTTGTGCAAAGTACACCATGAACTTAATTTTGTGTGATGTGTAGTCGTATTTGAAATGGGATAGTCCAGTGAGCTCATGGACTAGATTAAGGGGCTGTTCACTAAACACTTACCGGGTAAGTGCTTATTAATGCCACTTACCTTACTGATTGAGAATGAAAAGGACCGAGAATCTTACCCAGTAAGAGGGATAACAAGGACCGAGAGTCTTACCCGGTAAGTGAGGGAAAAAACTCTTACCCGGTAAGCACTTACCGGGTTTAAGACGCTTACCAACAATACATTTTGATAACCGAGAATGTTACATGATAAGGTAAATGGGGGTAATGTCTCTTGCCGGTAAACGCTTATCCAATAAGCATTTGGTAAATGACTCCTAAGTGTGATGAATCCATGATAATAAGGATGCAGTTTAAGTTATCTTGAATGCGGAATAATCATTGTTAACCAATCTTACTGCATAAGTAAACAGTGTAAAGGCTCATGTCCCCTGGTTAGCATGAATTCCAATTGGCCAAAGAACAGGATAAAGATATAGAATATCTGTTTACTGAAATGTTCACAACAGACCATGTGCAGGAGCAGGAGATGGAAATAGAAGCTTTAGAAGCCATCCTCATGGACGAGCTTGAAGGTTCGCACAGTCAATAATACTTGACATGCATTTTGCTCTTTTTAGATTTTAACTTCACCAGTCAAACTTATGACAAGTTTTTTTGTGTGATTGATGTATTTGCCAGAAATTCACCCCAGTGAAAGTGGATTGAACACTTCAAATCGATGTTTCCAAATTACTTTATCTCCCCAGGTAGCCAATTTCATGCCGTTTGAATCGTTGATTACTTAATTTTTTTCCTTGTTATGAAAGCTCTATCTCACATAAATAAGGCTACTGGCTGTTTGATCGGGGATGGACTCAGTGTATTGGATATGGTGGCGTGGGCCACCTCTTTGTTCCTCCTTGGTGGTGTTAGGATATCATGTTATGAATGTCATACTCCAATAAACCCGTTAATAGAACAAGTCAAACGATCTTCCAAGAAAAGATAATTGCTAATACTATTATTGCATGTGGTGCTTCTAAGATGCATGCACTGTATGTTTTGATCCCAGCATTGTCGATCATGCTTTTTTACCAGTACCAGTACTAAGTATGTTAATTTATTTCTAGCAGGATGATGAGACCGATGAATATTCTACCACACCAGGTTTTTATCAGGCATCTTTTTGTAAGATTATTGCTTGAGGATGTTACATTTCTTTAAAATATTAGTTGTTGCTAAATTTTGTTGCAGTTCAATTGGGGTTAATTTTCTCGCATACAGAAAAATATCCAGATGAAGTACCACTTCTGAATGTGAAAAGGTGGCTGACTACATCTTTATTGATTCTATATCTTTCTATAAATCCATATTCCTTATCATTGGCGGAGATAATACATTATCTATTGTTACGTTTATCCATGATGGCTGCTCACTGTCCAGCTTCTCCTTTTTGTATTGTTTACCACATTTTTCATTTCTTAACATGCAATAATTTCTGTTAGCTATCTGTTTTCCCCCTTCCTCTGTTATTCATATACAGATATACCTGCTATGGGTCAGGTTCAGGGGAAAACCGCAAAAAAATGAAAAACTGAGTAACACCCCGGTAATCGTTCATCTGGCCGGTATGCACACGTGCATACAAGTAACTTGTAAGCAATTTGTCGGGTATGCACATGTGCATAACATACACACATGCATAAAAACCAAGAAACAACTTCAATTACTTTATGCACATGTGCATACTGTCTTTGCTGAATGGTTACCAGGGTGTTCCTTAGTTTTTCATTTTTTAGGGAGTTTTCCCCTGAACCTCCCCATATGTGCTATAATCAGCCAACTTTATATGCTCAACTATCACATGATTTATTTGGGTGCTGGTGCCATACTTGGCACACTGAGTTTTGATGATGAACTCTAAATTTTATAACTCTTGTGTAATCCGTCCTTTCTTATGGCTATGTTTCAGTATAAGAGGAATTCACACCTCGGATCTCAAAATTTTGAAAGAAAAGCTTGAACAAGAGGTAAAAGAGATTGTTAGCACCATAACATTTTATTGCATATCATTCTATTTGCACATAACGAGACATTGGCAATTGCTTTTGATTTATGATTTCCCATCGTTCTCTTTTAGCCTAGATCAACTATGTTGCAACAAAGTCTGTATTGCTGAATAACTAATGATTTTGATTAGCAGTACCTCATCTTAGTAGATCAACATAGTTCAGAACTTTATAACCCGATAGTTGCTTCAAAATAAGTAGAATAATATAGTACCATGATTTATGATTCATCAAAGTAACTTGCAGATAAAATGATGGTTCTTTCTTTAAGGGTGTGTTTGGTACACTGGATAGGATAGGACAAAACATAATAAAACATGGATCACTATTCAACATTTGGTAGGCCTTTTAGGTGGAACAGGTGTGTTCCACCCCCGCCCCATGGAACAAGGTAGAACAAGGGGAACAAACCTATGTTTTTACCAATATAACATCAAAATAAAATTTAATTCTCTTCTAAAACATCAAATAGACCTCCCTCTTTACATTTTATTCATCGTATTTTATGCTCTTTAAACTTTCAGTTTACTGTCCTCAAAATATTATTTTTATATTGTTTCTATATTTTGATTAATATATGTAATTTATTAAATATTAATAATAAAAAATAATATCGAAGAAGTATAAAAAATTGGAAACTACATAAACATTTTATTTTGGTGTCATTTTAATCGTCTTGACAAAAACTGTCTAATGATGTATTTTGTTATAAAAAATAATTTTTTAAATATAATTTAATAAAATTACATAAATTAATCAAAATATATAAACAACTCATTAGGGGTAAATTGGTCATTTTATCTGTTGTTATGACCTGTCCAGTTATGTCTTACCAAACGCTGAACAACTATTCTTTCCTGTTCTGTTTTGACCTATCCTGTCTGATACCAAACGCACCCTAAGAAATATAACATGCATTTAGTATTTACTTATCCTATAATGTAGTCATGCATCCTCTTCTGCACACATGTAGTTACGTACCTCATGCAGCTATTTGAGATATTTGCAGGCATTGGAGAATCTTGGCATGTCTATGATCTACACTCTAGTTAGCTCAGCTAAGGATTGGCTTTCTGAAATATTTGCTCAAGACGCTGATGATGATGATGATGAAGAGGAGACAGCAGAGAAGGATGAAGTATGATTTTTTCCATGAATTCAGTAGAATCTATAATTTCTTCTCAGTGAGATATATCCTTTCCTCCCAAAATGAAGACAATGTTTGACTAAGGACATAGTTTAATAAAAGCGCATGATTATTAGGGCCTGTTTGTTAGCAGCTTATTTGGCCAGCTATACATACTGTTTGGTAGTGACTTAATGATATAGAAACTGACTTATTCAGTAAGCCTATAGGGGAGAGCTTTATGCAAAAAGCCAAATTTTTTTTCCAATTTGTCCCTCCCAACTGAAAAACACGCATCTTTCATCTATGAAAAAACCCTCCCAAACAAAGACCTTCTCAATCTATATAGAC